GTATATATATATACATATATATATACATATGTATGTATATATATATGTATATATACACACACATATATTCCTGCAATCTGTGATTGCTTCCTCTGTAAATCAGCTACAAACCTTGTGTATTTGACTTATCTGTAAGATATATATGCACTACATTAAAAATGCCGATTAATAGATGAAATTTTTAAATTAATTTTTTAAACATACTGTATATTGTATCACAATGTTGATGTGCCAAAATATTCTCTTACTGTCATGCAGAGTATAAGAATGCTTTGAACAGTTATAAACTTAGTGTAATAAAATAAGAGGAAAGCCAAAAAAAGAAATGGAAAACTGGTATATTCTCTTTCGCTTACTGTTGTTCCTGTTTATTTTTCTAATTACAGCAGTATGAGTTATGGGTGCCCTAATGTGTAGTTACTTTCTACACATTGGGGCAAAAGTAGTTTTACAGTTGTTCATATGGAAAATAATACAATAATTAATAAATAATAATACAAGAATAAACTGTTTCGCATACTCACAACTATAAACCTACTTTTGCCCAACCCTATATTTTAATGTTGTTTCAGAGAACTTTGGATGTTTTAATATATAATGAAGATGAACTTCCATAGAACATTTTCAAACCTGCATTACTGGAGAGAGTCCAAAGAGTAATTTTCTGTTTTGGCAGATTTTACTGGAGATAAAAGTGATGAGCAGAAAAGGCTATCAGCATTAAATTGTTTTTCCTCTAAACCTAAAAGAGTATATATATAATTAAAAGTAATGACCATTGGGGAATTTACCTAGAATAAATGTATGTTTTAGAAATACAAAATGACCTTCTGCAGTGCCACAAAGTGTTGAGTAATATTAACTGTTATTCGCAATATAGAATCCTTCTGCTTTTGTACATGGAACACCTAAAAAATCCCAAACAGATCTAAATGAAGTTTCTAATTCTATTGGGTTCTGTTCTTGGGTTCCAAAATCTATTGGGCTGTATAAATTAAACCACTTTAGTTGTGCTGGGTCATTGTCAGAGGAATGCCATCTGGGGAATGCCTGGGCACATAATTTCCTATCTATTCATATGCCCATTAGTGAATAGTTCAAACCTGTTTAAGAATGTAATGAGATGGCATATCATACATGTTAGAAATCTTGATAACAATTTTGTGCATTTTTTTAACACAACTAGAGTCATTTAAATATGGCTTGAATATATTTTTAGTTAACTTTTCCCTCAATTTTCAGTTTTGAAATTGATGGCAAATTTCTGATACACAAGGATGAATGAAATCTTCTGCTTACTCTGTGTTTGTGTTTGTGTGTGTGCGTATGTGCTGAACTGAGTGAGAGAGAGAATATATGTGTGTACGTATATGGATGTGCATGTGCCCATGCTCTTTTGACATGTTAACTAGAAATTTAAAAAAATTTGGATATAAAACCATTGCTGTCAGACTGAGATCTTGTATGCCAAACTTTAATGTGCTTTTTACATTTTAAGGCTGAAAGTGTTAAAATCCTAAGAGGATTTGATATTGAATAAATGTAAACAATCTTAACTATAGTGGTGGTTAACATACTACTATAATTTATTATTCTGTCTTCCAGATAATGTTATTCATTTAGAACAAAAAAGTATATTTTTAGAATCAACTTTGTAAGCACTATAAATCTTTAATAAGTTATAAGGTCTATGATGTGTTTACTTTGAAAATTGCTGTTAAAAGCAAGGTGTATTAAATACATAATTATATTCTTGGTTAAGAGTCTTTTTTTCTTTCTTGTGTTAAGTCATAGAATATAGTAATGAGGATTAATTTAATAAAATTAAGATGTATGGTTGATTTTACTAGGATATGATGAAAGGAAATTAAGTTTAGTTTTACAGTAATTGAATGATGTCATTTTGGGGTTCTTAAATTATTTTCAAATCATCTAGAAAATATGAAAAGATATGGCAAAAGTAAAATTGATTTGAAATTTTGATAAGTATATAGATATATTACATATTTTTTGCAACAAAAGTAAGTAGTAAACATCTTTTAACATTGTTATATTTGGAGTGCTTTCTTTTTGTTTTGTTCTGTCATCAACATTTTTATTTAGTGTACTATATGGCAGGATGTAAATATGCCTTTCTTATTAAGGGCAGGCTTTTGTATAATTAAGATTTGTGGACAACATTTTATACAACAAAAGAAAATCTATAAACTATCAGAAAAGGAAAATAAACATTTAATATAAATTATAGAGGGCAGTTACAATGAAACTCCATCACTTTTCTAGCTCAGGTTTACAAAATAAAGTCAACCCTGATAATATCACTCCTAACACAAGATACAGAACCCAAACCTAAGAAATTGGCTGTTATTCCCAAGCCTTGAAAATAGGAGATAATAATGATATTGAATCAAAAGCATATATAGGCAAAAACATAATATTGATACGTGGTTGCATTATTGGGGCTTGTTGCAAGCTAAATACATGTGAAGTCATCCCTGAGAATACAGTGATCTATGCCGTAGACTGCCTTTGTCAGGTGCAGACTGAGCAACCACAGCCCCAGGCACTGCAGCTGGATTTCCTGATGAAAATCTTGCCAACCTACCACCACTTACAGAAGACTATGAAAGACTCAACTCCAGTTAAGAACGAAGAACAAGCCATGACATCAACATTTTCTCTTCGACCACTATCTTTTGAAAGGGCCAAGGTTTTATGTCCTCTTAGCAGGTCACAGCATTGACTTTATTTTGTAAACCTGAGTTAGAAAAGTAATGGATTTTCATTGTAACTGCCCTCTATAATTTATATAAAATGTTTATTTTCCTTTTCTGATAATTTACAGGTTTACTTTTCTTTTGTTACATAAAATGTTGGCCACACATTTTAGTTATACGAAAGCCAGCCCTTAATAAGAAAAGGCATATTATTAAGTATTTACATCCTGCCATATACTACGCTAATCCCTGTTGGTCTGGCCTCTGCATGATCCGTACTTTTGGGTGGATTACTGTCCTAGGTCCTACATAACTTTCTACACACACAACTACTCCAGAAACAATCTTCACACTGTTTTGAGTCTTCTCCACCCTGTTTTTGCCTGGGTCTCCAATTGCAGCTGAGATCGACACAAGCGCCTGGGTGAAACTGATCTCTACTGCATTGCTTTCTTGCTTTTATTATTTAAAGTTATAGAAATTGAGGAATTGAACTGAGACTACACAAGAAAACAATTAAAATTAGCCGGAACCCTGCTGATACTTTTGTTATAAAATTTGTTTGCACTGAAATACATTATCATCTTTAAGGTTATTGAGTGATGCATACATTTCACACATCTTGTATTTTCTAGGTAGAATCCAGACTTAGTCAGCATCATTAAATACCTCTCTGGTTTTCTTGGCTCACTTACCTGCATAATGGAGTATATTCTTTGCAAGATAATTCTTTCAGTAATGGTCTTTGAACAGTAGAGACTTACCTTTGTGTGTCTGAAAAAGTCTATTTCATTCTTGAAGAACAATTTAGCAGGCCATAGCATTCTAGGCTCACAGTTTCCTCCCTACTCCCATCACTTTGAAGATTTAAAAAAAAATATATTTTTATTGGTTTCAGAGAGGAAGGGAGAGGGAGAGGGAGAGAAAGATAGAAACATCAACGATGAGAGAGAATCATTGATAGGCTGCCTCCTGCATGCCCCCAACTGGGGATCGAGCCCACAACCCAGGCATGTGCCCTTGACTGGAATCGAACCCAGGACCCTTCAGTCCACAGGCCAATGCTCTATTCACTGAGCCAAACCAGCCAGGGCTCTTTGAAGATTTTTAACTCATTGTCTCGTCATCTAATATGACAAGTCTGCTACTGGTGTAATTTCCTTTGTAGATAATCTGTATTTCTCTCCAGGAACTTTTCCATGACTTTTTATCTTCAAGGTTGTTCATGTTGACTTGTTAAGTTGTAGATTTGTTTTTATTTTTCTTGCTTAGTATTTGGTATGCACTTTCAATCTGTGGGCTCATGTCTTCAGTTTTGGAAGATTCTTAAATGTAGTTGCATATTGGAATATGGGAACCTATAAAAATATGCTGATGCCTGGCTCCAGTCCCCAGAGACTAATATAATTGGTCTGGAGTGTGCCCTAAGCATTAGGAGTTTCTAAAGTTCCCCAGGTGATTCTAATGTGCAGCCCAGGTTGCTGATCACTGGTGTAATACATGTAAGATAAGAAGGAGGGTGAGAGAGAGGAGATAAGTGGTGACTTTGGAAATGAAGAGTGATGGACACATTGAGTTAAATTTTGGATTAAATCATCTGAACTTGGTGATTGGAGTATAAAGGTTAAGGAAGAAGAAGTATTAAAGATAACTTAATTTTTCTTTCTTGGGAAAGTAAGTGGATGGTATTTCTTTAAGCCAAAAGAAGTATGCAGACAAGTAGGTGAATGGGTAAAGATAATGAGTTGGATGTGTATTGAAGTTGAGATATGGAAGGTACATCTGGGAAAGATGAGTCATAAAGAGTGGGATATTTGAGTCAGGGTTATTGGATATAAATGAGGGAATCATCAGCACGTGGCTGTAATAAATGAAGCTGTGGGAATGGAGTGGATGAGATTACCCAGGGAGCATGTTACAGTGAAAAGAGGAGATCTGAGGCATATTGGTGTGTTGGCAGTGGAACCAGTGAAGGAAATAAAGGGGGTGTGGTCAGAAGTAGGAGGGAAAACAGAAGAGTGGTATGGATGAAGCCATGGCAGGAAGGCATTTCAAGCAAGGCCCAACTGGTGGTATTAAGTGCAGATAGAAGGAATAATGAACCGTAGAGAACGGAGGTGATATCTTATGTTGAAAAATGCCTTTTCTAACCTATTTTATCTTAACATTTAATA